GCTAACGGCTAACGGCTAACGGCTAACCCTAACAACAGAATTTTCGTGAATTTGAAAATGTATAGTTCTTATAGTGCACATTGCACAATAACTAGCTTACAGTTGATCTTCAGGTGGGGTTTCGTTCATAACCACACTAAAAGTCCCGGAACCTGAACATTGGAATGTAGACAGAAGAGGAAATATTACTACCCTGGGTACTGGCAGACAGCCAAGACAGTACAATTGAAGCTGAAAGGTTCTGTAATCTGTACAGACTTACCTTACACATCAACCTCTACTAGTTACTAGGCAACCTCTACTAGTTACTAGGCAACCTCTACTAGTTACTAGGCAACCTCTACTAGTTACTAGGCAACCTCTACTAGTTACTAGATAACCTCTACTGGTTACTAGATAACCTCTACTGGTTACTAGGCAACCTCTACTAGTTACTAAGCAACCTCTACTAGTTACTAGGCAACCTCTACTAGTTACTAGGCAACCTCTACTAGTTACTAGGCAACCTCTACTAGTTACTAGGCAACCTCTACTAGTTACTAGATAACCTCTACTGGTTACTAGATAACCTCTACTGGTTACTAGGCAACCTCTACTAGTTACTAAGCAACCTCTACTAGTTACTAGGCAACCTCTATTAGTTACTAGGCAACCTCTACTAGTTACTAGGCAACCTCTACTAGTTACTAGGCAACCTCTACTGGTTACTAGGTAACCTCTACTAGTTACTAGATAACCTCTACTAGTTACTAGGCAACCTCTACTGGTTACTAGGTAACCTCTACTAGTTACTAGAAAACCTCTACTGGTTACTAGGTAACCTCTACTGGTTACTAGATAACCTCTACTAGTTACTAGATAACCTCTACTAGTTACTAGATAACCTCTACTAGTTACTAGGCAACCTCTACTGGTTACTAGATAACCTCTACTGGTTACTAGGCAACCTCTACTAGTTACTAAGCAACCTCTACTAGTTACTAGGCAACCTCTACTAGTTACTAGGCAACCTCTACTGGTTACTAGGTAACCTCTACTAGTTACTAGATAACCTCTACTAGTTACTAGGCAACCTCTACTGGTTACTAGATAACCTCTACTAGTTACTAGGCAACCTCTATTGGTTACTAGGTAACCTCTACTAGTTACTAGGCAACCTCTACTGGTTACTAGGTAACCTCTACTGGTTACTAGGCAACCTCTACTAGTTACTAAGCAACCTCTACTAGTTACTAGGCAACCTCTATTAGTTACTAGGCAACCTCTACTAGTTACTAGGCAACCTCTACTAGTTACTAGGCAACCTCTACTGGTTACTAGGTAACCTCTACTAGTTACTAGATAACCTCTACTAGTTACTAGGCAACCTCTACTGGTTACTAGGTAACCTCTACTAGTTACTAGGCAACCTCTACTGGTTACTAGGTAACCTCTACTGGTTACTAGATAACCTCTACTAGTTACTAGATAACCTCTACTAGTTACTAGGCAACCTCTACTGGTTACTAGATAACCTCTACTAGTTACTAGATAACCTCTACTGGTTACTAGATAACCTCTACTGGTTACTAGATAACCTCTACTGGTTACTAGATAACCTCTACTGGTTACTAGATAACCTCTACTGGTTACTAGATAACCTCTACTGGTTACTAGGCAACCTCTACTGGTTACTAGATAACCTCTACTGGTTACTAGGCAACCTCTACTGGTTACTAGATAACCTATACTGGTTACTAGGCAACCTCTACTGGTTACTAGATAACCTCTACTGGTTACTAGGCAACCTCTATTGGTTACTAGATAACCTATACTGGTTACTAGGCAACCTCTACTGGTTACTAGATAACCTCTACTGGTTACTAGATAACCTCTACCGGTTACTAGATAACCTCTACTGGTTACTAGATAACCTCTACTGGTTACTAGATAACCTCTACTGGTTACTAGATAACCTCTACTGGTTACTAGGCAACCTCTACTGGTTACTAGATAACCTCTACTGGTTACTAGATAACCTTTACTGGTTACTAGATAACCTCTACTGGTTACTAGGCAACCTCTACTGGTTACTAGGCAATCTCTACTGGTTACTAGATATGTGCTACTGTAGAATAATAATTTGTAATGGCTGGATAGTTTACATATGAGACAAGAGAAACGCTAAAAACTACTAGTACTACTCCGCAAGCAATCTTAGGACGCGAGGAGAGTTGGGACTCATATTTTAGACCTACACAAGCTTCTACTAGTTACTAGGCAACTAGTAGAGAAACACAAGCTTCTTCATACATTGCTATCTTGTAGAAATAGCTTTTCTAAACTTACTATTTTATGAGAACGATATATTTTTCAGGATATTTTTAATTTAGCAAAGACTGTTATAGTTGACACTTCTTGAAAATGTATAAATTGTGAAATACTTACATGAGCACATTACCTTAGCAACAAAATAGCGTATTTATTGTGGAGGGTTATAATATACTTACTATGTAGAATATTGAATATAATATCATTATCATAATATTACTAGTATACACTTTGTATAGTAAATATGATATTACAATAATATTAGTACATTCAAACTTATGGTGAGTGAATATAATATTAAAATACTATAGTATACTATAGTACTTTAATACTCACTAGCAAATACTAACTAGTATACTTATTACTTATACTACATACTATAGTGAATATCATGCTCAAACACAAATCAAATAAGAGACTTAAGGGGAGAGGGGGGGGGGCCAGACTTAAATCTGACGAAAATCTCAAATTCTGTAATTTAACAATTATAACATCTTATCTCAGGTTCCAATAGTTAATAATAACTATTAACTTAATAACGTCCTACATCGTTGAACAAGTTACAAATAAGTGGAGATAAAGTTATACAATTATTAATAAATTATCTGGAACAAAGTTCTTCTTCTTTATCTTGGCGTTTATCGACATATATACTTAAAATTCTCCAACCAACCAATATTTGGTAGCTAAAGATAACAACCTCATCATAATTTTGTGCAATAGATTTTCTCATAAATTCATTAAAATCTCATAAAGAATCTCTGTATAGGAATCTTCTAGCAATATCTCACTCGTCATGTGATATTATACCGTTACCATGGTAATATCATAGTATTACCACAGTAACCATACCGTTACCATGGTATTATCATAGTATTACCACAGTAACCATACCGTTACCATGGTATTATCATAGTATTACCACAGTAACCATACCGTTACCATGGTATTATCATAGTATTACCACAGTAACCATACCGTTACCATGGTATTATCATAGTATTACCACAGTAACCATACTGTTACCATGGTATTAACATAGTATTACCACAGTAACCATAGCGTTACCATGGTATTATCATAGTATTACCACAGTAACCATACCGTTACCATGGTATTATCATAGTATTACCACAGTAACCATAGCGTTACCATGGTATTATCATAGTATTACCACAGTAACCATACCGTTACCATGGTATTATCATAGTATTACCACAGTAACCATACCGTTACCATGGTATTATCATAGTATTACCACAGTAACCATACTGTTACCATGGTATTAACATAGTATTACCACAGTAACCATCACCGTTACCATGGTATTATCATAGTATTACCACAGTAACCATACTGTTACCATGGTATTAACATAGTATTACCACAGTAACCATCACCGTTACCATGGTATTATCATAGTATTACCACAGTAACCATACTGTTACCATGGTATTATCATAGTATTACCACAGTAACCATACTGTTACCATGGTATTAACATAGTATTACCACAGTAACCATCACCGTTACCATGGTATTATCATAGTATTACCACAGTAACCACACTGTTACCATGGTATTAACATAGTATTACCACAGTAACCATACCGTTACCATGGTATTATCATAGTATTACCACAGTAACCATACTGTTACCATGGTATTATCATAGTATTACCACAGTAACCATACTGTTACCATGGTATTAACATAGTATTACCACAGTAACCATCACCGTTACCATGGTATTATCATAGTATTACCACAGTAACCATCACCGTTACCATGGTATTATCATAGTATTACCACAGTAACCATACTGTTACCATGGTATTATCATAGTATTACCACAGTAACCATACTGTTACCATGGTATTAACATAGTATTACCACAGTAACCATCACCGTTACCATGGTATTATCATAGTATTACCACAGTAACCACACTGTTACCATGGTATTAACATAGTATTACCACAGTAACCATACCGTTACCATGGTATTATCATAGTATTACCACAGTAACCATACCGTTACCATGGTATTATCATAGTATTACCACAGTAACCATACTGTTACCATGGTATTATCATAGTATTACCACAGTAACCATACTGTTACCATGGTATTAACATAGTATTACCACAGTAACCATAGCGTTACCATGGTATTATCATAGTATTACCACAGTAACCATACCGTTACCATGGTATTATCATAGTATTACCACAGTAACCATAGCGTTACCATGGTATTATCATAGTATTACCACAGTAACCATACCGTTACCATGGTATTATCATAGTATTACCACAGTAACCATACCGTTACCATGGTATTATCATAGTATTACCACAGTAACCATACTGTTACCATGGTATTAACATAGTATTACCACAGTAACCATCACCGTTACCATGGTATTATCATAGTATTACCACAGTAACCATACTGTTACCATGGTATTAACATAGTATTACCACAGTAACCATCACCGTTACCATGGTATTATCATAGTATTACCACAGTAACCATACTGTTACCATGGTATTATCATAGTATTACCACAGTAACCATACTGTTACCATGGTATTAACATAGTATTACCACAGTAACCATCACCGTTACCATGGTATTAACATAGTATTACCACAGTAACCACACTGTTACCATGGTATTAACATAGTATTACCACAGTAACCATACCGTTACCATGGTATTATCATAGTATTACCACAGTAACCATCACCGTTTCATATTGGTCACTCATTATTTGAATTGAAAACTGGAAAATCTCGTCATCTCACGCGAATATAAAATTACAGGGTTACCAGGTTACCAGGTTACCAGGCTATCAGGTTACCAGGTTACCATTTCATGTAAAGATCGCTTGAAATATAATAAGGAATGTTAAGGAAGGTAGGTAGGTTTTATTAGACGAGTTGCAAAGATCCTTCAGACAAAACTCTCTCTGACAGTTGGACCACAACATGTTACACTGGTAGTCTGAAATAATATGATTATTATAACTATTGAAATGATTATGATAATTATAATTATAAATTATGGCATTGCCCATATCTGGTCCAATTTTGGCTAAATTATGGCAAATCACTTTGAGTTTGACATGCCCAATACCAAGCTTTGGGTACTTGTAGCTACTAGTCTCCTGAACACGTAATTAAATTTTATCCAACTTAGACAAAAATTGGCTGAGTTATGTAATAATATGGCCACAAATTTTGAATTTGGCCGCCAAATTAAAAAAAATGTCAAACTAAAAATTCCACTCCAAAACTTAAGGTTAAAATTCGATTCTACATTTATTTTGAAAATTCAATAGCAAAAATATCGAAAGCAGATATCAGTTTCACGAATATCGCGAACTGAGATATGGGCGATTTCGTTCATTTTTGGCCATTTTTGAGCAAAGAATGCAGAGTTAAATAAATATTGAGCTGTTATTCATAGAGAATGCGTAGTTTAGGCAGAGTTGAGACACAGTTAATAAACTGCGTCTCAACTGAGTGACTAAAATACTATACAGCAAAAACAGAAGCATCTAACCAAACACTCTAACCCTCCCTCCCTCCCTCCCTCCCTCCCTCCCTCCCTCCCTCCCTCCCTCCCTCCCTCCCTCCCTCCCTTAAAATATGGGCATGGTTGCCACGCAGGAACCGGTGGGCGCCCGAAATCCGGAACCCCTAAAAAGTTAGGTAAATGCCTTAGTTTGAAGATCAACTGGAAAAAAATCAGGGTGAACATTAAGCATTTTTTGTATTGAGAGCCCTGGGTCAATTATCAATGACAATACGAATGTACATTGAACTGACTAAAAGGGCTAGATCCTGGTGAACCCCCCCCCCCAAGTTGAGGTCCTGGTGAAACCCCCCCCCCCCCTAAACAAACCTTGGTCTGATTCCATACAGCCTCTTTTCTGATAACTTAATCCGTTGTATTTGTAAGTCATTGCGACACAGTACTTCTGACTTCCACATTTCTTCTTAAGATCGCATTCCTGCAGTTGCTAGGTTACAGATACTAAGTAAATATAAGATCGCATTCCTGCATTGTATGTAGTATAATTTAAAATACTTAATCGATGGAATTTTAATATTGAACGAACTTTATATATTTGCTAGGCAGCAAATGCTAGGTTACAGTTGCTAGGTCACACTTGCTAGGCTACACTTGCTAGGTTACAGTTCTGGTTGCTAGGTTACAGTTGCTAGGTTACAGTTCTGGTTGCTAGGTTACACTTGCTAGGTTACAGTTCTGGTTGCTAGGTTACAGTTGCTAGGTTACAGTTATGGTTGCTAGGTTACAGTTGCTAGGTTACAGTTCTGGTTGCTAGGTTACACTTGCTAGGTTACAGTTCTGGTTGCTAGGTTACACTTAACCTAGTGTAACCTAGCAATCAGAACTGTAACCTAGCAAGTGTAACCTAGCAAGGTTACACTTGCTAGGTTACAGTTGCTAGGTTACACTTGCTAGGTTACACTTGCTAGGTTACACTTGCTAGGTTACACTTGCTAGGTTACAGTTCTGGTTGCTAGGTTACACTTGCTAGGTTACAGTTCTGGTTGCTAGGTTACACTTACTAGGTTACAGTTCTGGTTGCTAGGTTACACTTGCTAGGTTACAATTCTGGTTGCTAGGTTACAGTTGCTAGGTTACAGTTCTGGTTGCTAGGTTACACTTGCTAGGTTACAGTTCTGGTTGCTAGGTTACACTTGCTAGGTTACACTTGCTAGGTTACACTTGCTAGGTTACAGTTCTGGTTGCTAGGTTACACTTGCTAGGTTACAGTTCTGGTTGCTAGGTTACAGTTGCTAGGTTACAGTTCTGGTTGCTAGGTTACACTTGCTAGGTTACAGTTCTGGTTGCTAGGTTACAGTTGCTAGGTTACAGTTCTGGTTGCTAGGTTACACTTGCTAGGTTACAGTTCTGGTTGCTAGGTTACAGTTGTTATATTTGTTGCGTAACAGTACCAACCGCTGAGATGAAGCGTTCTTTCAAGGGATTTTCGTTGGTTTGACATGTGTAGCACTCTAACTCACAACTCACTGAAATAAAAAGAAAAACGTTAATTTATTTTATTCAATCATACGTTACCAGTTTACCAGGTTACTAGGTTACCAGGTTACTAGGTTACTAGGTTACCAGGTTACCAGGTTAACAGGTTTATAGGTTGCCAATCATAGTTAAAAATCACTCTACACTCGACTATCACGTGACTTTTTTAACACGTTCTTTAGCGGCGCCTCTACACTAACCCCAACCCTAACTAAAGCATATGTTAAAAGCCTAACCCTAACGATAAATTAGACCAACTTCCTTATATCTTTATATGGTCATATCACGTGATCGAGACAGTTTTTCGCTGATATCTCGCCAGGGGAGCACTTTAACCCTATGTCATGTGGGGTGATTCGGAATCAGCGTTCAAAAATACATCAACTAAAGTTGGTTTCAAAAATCTCAAAGTTCGAGTGTAGAGTAATTTAGCACGATCTCACAGTTCGAGTGTAGAGTAATTTAGCACGATCATCATCATTGGTCCAGTAAAAAACAACCACTCACAGTTTTACATGAATCTAATTTATAATATGGTGCTATTTATCCATATTATCCACTATATATATATATATATACACACTTACCTAAAGTTACTAATGTTGCTGTCAGAATAAATTTGATGTAATTCATTTCGTTTCTTCAATCATTCAATCTATAAATACAGGATATGTTAATTTTACAATTAAATTAACAGAAAAGAAAAAAATTAGAACAATAATATGATAAATAGTAGGTAATCTAACTAGAATTCTAGTTATCTAACTACAATTAAGCTAATCAAAAAAGGCTAAAAACAATAGTAAATGGACAGTGGACACGGAAATTCTACAAACAGTTTCTGAAATGCTAAAACTCTAACTAATTACATTAATTAAATAGAAGAGTTTTTGAAATACTGCACCGTAATCTGATGTGCACTAATGATCTAGTAGCAGTGTGTAGTTAGAGTATAATGATCTAGCAGGACTCATGCTCTTTCCATTTACATGTGTAATCAACTAAAGAACTAAATGAAGTAGTGTAATTAACTAAAGAACTAAATGAAGTAGTGTAATCAACTAAAGAACTAAATGAAGTAGTGTAATTAACTAAAGAACTAAATGAAGTAGTGTAATCAACTAAAGAACTAAATGAAGTAGTGTAATTAACTAAAGAACTAAATGAAGTAGTGTAATCAACTAAAGAATTAAATGAAGTAGTGTAATTAACTAAAGAACTAAATGAAGTAGCGTAATTAACTAAAGAACTAAATAAAGTAGTGTAATCAACTAAAGAACTAAATGAAGTAGTGTAATTAACTAAAGAACTAAATAAAGTAGTGTAATCAACTAAAGAACTAAATGAAGTAGTGTAATTAACTAAAGAACTAAATGAAGTAGTGTAATCAACTAAAGAACTAAATGAAGTAGTGTAATTAACTAAAGAACTAAATGAAGTAGCGTAATTAACTAAAGAACTAAATGAAGTAGTGTAATTAACTAAAGAACTAAATGAGGTAGTGTAATTAACTAAAGAACTAAATGAGGTAGTGTACTACTGGGAGATACTAAAACTCTTCAGCCTCCAATCTCTCCAAAGAAGACGAGAGAGATATATGATAAATGCCTGCAAAATCCTCAATGGCAAAATAGGGACATTGAATCGGATTACAACACGTGCAAATGCAGGCAAAGTAAAAAGTTGCTAAGCAACAGTAGCTAGGTAACATTAACTCTACTTTTTGCTCCCTCCACGTGCAGGTCGGATAGTGATCACGTGTTACTGACTGTCGAATAGAGATTCCTGGACAGCAGGATATGCAGTAATTAGTAATTAATTAGTAATTAATTAGTAATTAAAATCTGCTGGAAAGGTTGAGCACGCTGGTTCGCTCATTTAAGTGTTAATTGATAGGAAGATGTGCAGCCACTGACTGTCTGACAGTGAATACTATTATCAGTGTAATAGTGAAATAAAGATATAGTGAAATAGCGAATAGAGAAATAGTGAAATAGCGAAATATTGAAATAGTAAAATAGTGAAATAGTTATTGCAGAATTAGAGTCAAACATTGTCTGTGGAATATTTGAATTGCTAAGACTACCTTACATTTACTAAATTGGAAATTTGGAACCAGATCAAGTAGTTAACAAGTCTTACAAACTTCTGAAGAAACCGAGTAAAACCATATCTCGCTACAATTGCTAGGTAACAGTTGTTAGGTTAAGTTGTTAGGTTACAGTTGCTATGTAACAGTTGCTGGTAAGAGTTGCTAGGTAAGAGTTACTAGGTTACTGTTGCTAGGTTACTGTTGCTAGGTTACTGTTGCTAGGTTACCTGTTGCTAGGTTACTGTTGCTATGTTACTATTGCTAGGTTACTGTTGCTAGGTTACTGTTGCTAGGTACTGTTGCTAGGTTACTATTGCTAGGTTACTATTGCTAGGTTACAGTTGCTTGGTTACTATTGCTAGGTTACTGTTGCTAGGTTACTGTTGCTAGGTTACTGTTGCTAGGTTACAGTTGCTAGGTTACTATTGCTAGGTTACTGTTGCTAGGTTACTGTTGCTAGGTTACTATTGCTAGGTTACTATTGCTAGGTTTACAGTTGCTAGGTTACAGTTGCTTGGTTACTATTGCTAGGTTACTGTTGCTAGGTTACTGTTGCTAGGTTACAGTTGCTAGGTTACTATTGCTAGGTTACTGTTGCTAGGAAACAGTTGCTAGGTTACAGTTGCTAGGTTACAGTTGCTAGGTTACTGTTGCTAGGTTACAGTTGCTAGGTTACTGTTGCTAGGTTACACCTCTCCTTCAAAGAAAGAAAAATTACTCTGACTTGTCAAACAACAATTATTTCAGCCTCTAAAAAATACGAGAACTGGTAGAAATACCATTGTACTGCTGACTGCTCTCTGATAGGCGAATTTGTGTCACGTGACCATAATGCAGCTCTCTGATTGGTGTTTAGCTCGCCGCCTCCATCATCACCAAGACTGTCTGCCTCCCAGTCTACCTGATTATAAGACTAGTACAAATAATAGTTGTAGACATTACATAACTAGTGTGACCCGTACATTATATAGTCATTCAGTGTCACAGACACAAACTAGTCTCCTACTCCGCATGCAGCCCTGAAATGTGACGTTACTTATATTTTAGTGTTACAGTAATAGTTCACAAGGAATGTTATAAAGAAACAGTTTAAATTCGGCTGACAAAATGATCTGCTGTGATCAAAAGTGGCAAAGCGTATTAGGAAGTTAGTTGCTAGGTTACAGTTGCTAGGTTACAGTTGCTAGGTTACAATATTAGGAAGTTAGTTGCTAGGTTACAGTTGCTAGGTTACAATATTAGGAAGTTAGTTGCTAGGTTACAGTTGCTAGGTTACAATATTAGGAAGTTAGTTGCTAGGTTACAGTTGCTAGGTTACAGTTGCTAGGTTACAATATTAGGAAGTTAGTTGCTAGGTTACAGTTGCTAGGTTACAATATTAGGAAGTTAGTTGCTAGGTTACAGTTGCTAGGTTACAGTTGCTAGGTTACAATATTAGGAAGTTAGTTGCTAGGTTACAGTTGCTAGGTTACAGTTGCTAGGTTACAATATTAGGAAGTTAGTTGCTAGGTTACAGTTGCTAGGTTACAATATTAGGAAGTTAGTTGCTAGGTTACAGTTGCTAGGTTACAGTTGCTAGGTTACAATATTAGGAAGTTAGTTGCTAGGTTACAGTTGCTAGGTTACAGTTGCTAGGTTACAATATTAGGAAGTTAGTTGCTAGGTTACAGTTGCTAGGTTACAGTTGCTAGGTTACAATATTAGGAAGTTAGTTGCTAGGTTACAGTTGCTAGGTTACAGTTGCTAGGTTACAATATTAGGAAGTTAGGAGAGTCAGCATATTATTACACTAGTAGTAAACGAACTAAAAGCCTACGTAAAATTTAAATAACAAGTAAAATTTCTCAGCTTAGTCAAGGATTTAACACGATGTAAAGATTGACGTCGAGGGAATTAAAGTTCAGGGGTGCATGCTTAAGGAATTGAAGTTCTCATTTCAACAAGCACAACATGTGAAATACTTCATCGCAATTATACTAACTCGTAGTAAAAGTAGTGTACCATGGTTGTGATGAGCAGTCGTAAAACATGATGTAAAGAGTGCATAGTATCGAACTTAATAAACCCCTCCGGATTAGAATAAATAAGATTCTGATAATCCCGGCTCCCGCAGTTAGTTTTTTCCCGCTGAATAAATAACCCCGGCACAGCTTCTATAATCCCGCCCCGCTAATTTGGCTCAACAAGATTTGTTTTGTTTTGATATTCCATGAGAATTTCAACCGCGCACTGTCACGTGTTTTGATGACGTGTATCACGTGACTAACTAATACGACGCGCATTGGTAAAAAATGTCACGTGACCTATGGCTTAACGTAAGAACTATAGATACACTTGATCTACGTATCGGTCTAACTGCAGGCGCTGGCAAAACTCCAGCACACTGCTTACATTCTTACAGTTACATTACTTAAACTCTTACATTACTTGGACCAGTTCCAGAACTTGTCTCGACGGTTACATTTGTCCGGTTAATTTTGTCGTAGCGATTGCACCGTTTGATATAAGCAATTTTACCAAAACCCATAATCATGGGTAGAGTGGAGCGCTGCCAGTGTCTCTCTTTCCCAAACAAAAGGCAATGATATCAATTTGAATGACCGTTATCAGATGCAAAATGATACCGAGAATGAAATCGGTCGCTTCGCTTTTCCCACTCATTCATGGCTTACGAATTGTAATAAGTTTCGATTTATAACATGTAATCTATTTCAATTGTAAATGAATGGGAAAAGCGAGCGACCGATTTCATTCTCGGTATCATTTTGCATCTGATAACGGTCATTCAAATTGATATCATTGCCTTTTGTTTGGGAAAGAGAGACACTGGCAGCGCTCCACTCTACCCATGATTATGGGTTTTGGTAAAATATCATCTCTTTTTTTATTATAATGTCAGGGTACTTTACAAAGCCGAAATGTAAACTCATAACTTCATTAATATTAATAAGGAGGTTATTTCAACGATTTCGAAATTTTTCCTTTGAAAACATTTCCTTGTGTTTAGGTAAGCATATCGGTCGATCACTGACTGAATTTGCCACTTTATACTCATTGAAGTTGGCATTAAATTCATATATAATGACATTGAACTGTCGTGGCAAAGCAGAATTTGTTCAAAATCACGAATGAGCACAATTTTAACCTTTCGCACGTGCAAACCTTGAGCGGAAGTTGCGTGCGCATCCAATATTGAATCACCGTAAATTTTTGCATGATGGTGTTTTATATATAGTTTGATAAGCATGCAAAGTTTCAAAGTATTTTTAAGAAGAACTGTAATCACAACGGCACTCCAAAGTTGACGGAAATTGGTGAAAACAGCAATTTTCAGTGATTTTAGCAATTTTCTATCAATTTGGGCGTGTCCCCACGTGTGCAACTTTCGATTTTCAACTTTAAAACAAGCCTATGACACAATTTAGAGCTTTAGGAAGCAAATTGAGCTCCACAACCCAAGGGATGGTGCAACACCAGAGAATACTAGAACGTAAAATTAGCGTTTTTATAAAATTATTCTTTAAAAAGCACTAACTTCAATAGCGAATATCTTTATGAAGGAGCAAGCTAGA